AGGGGGGGGGGCGTGGCCGGGCCACCATACACATTCCACAGGAGGCCACTCACCAGCTAGTCACAGAGCAGGCTCCCTCTGCTCTCCACACCCATCCGACAGGGACATTCCTGGGGGGGGGGCACACAGCTGAATGGGGGCACTGCACAGCCCTCTCACTGACAGGCCAGGACCAGAAGGCCCAAGGCTTGTCCCCCCAAGAATGGCTTTCGATATGTACATACCTGAGGGGAGTGGCAGACCTCGGGCAGGCCAGGAGGGGGCATGAGTCAGAGGGGCAAGGCCGAAACTGGATTTGGAGAGCTTAGCCCCAAGCTGAGGAGGGTGCCGAGGAGAGGGCGCGGCCCAGGGGACCTGGCTGACAGCTGGAGTGACATCCGTGGCCACCTTCTGCACCCTCTGTGCAAGCTCCTGGCCACAGGTCCCCTATCCACCCAGGCTCAGCCAAGCCCTACCGTTGGAGGCCCTTGGCACCCTCTGCTGGTGACTGTGTGGGCTGCAACACACGGAGACGGCAGGTGTGTCCCAGAGTAGCCTGTACACAACGCTGGCGTGGAGCACTGGGACCCAGTCCTGAAGTCTCAGCCTAGTGGGCAGGGGTGACTGCAGGGGGTGCTGGGGGTGATCCGTCGGCTGGTCTGCCTATGAGCCAGGCCTAGTCCCCAGTCTTTGGAAGTCCCCCACTCAGCTCGGGCCACACTGGGTCAAGTGTCCCGAGCAGAGCAGCGTCCAGTTGAGGGGAGCTGGGGCTGTCAGGTGCCCTCTGAGCCCTGACCCCAACTCGATGTCCACGGCCCTCCGCTGTGCCAGGACAGGACACCCTCCCTCCTGGGCAGGACCCACAGGTATGAACTGGCCATGAGGAGAGGGGAGGGGTCGGGTACATGCCATGCCTCCCCGCAACCCGCAGATCAGGCTAGTCGGCACTCCTGGTAGGGGAGAGGCCTTCCTAGGGTGGGGACCTGCACGTGGGGTTCCGTCTGCTGCAGGAGGGGCCTCCACTGGCCCAGGGATGCCTGCCGGTGTAGGTTAGTGGGGACACCCCGGCCCAGCTGCAAGGGCCCCACCCTCCTGGATGGTCTGTGTTCCCGAAGTTGTCTCTCCGCTGACTCTCATGTCTGAGCAGGCCCCGCACTACGCCTTAGCCAGGCCCTGCCGCCTCCAAGCCCCTCCCCGGTTACCACCTGCTCTGTCTCCATTCTGATTGCTGGACAGCTGAGGCCCCAGGCTCCAGGCCCTGCCCGCAGACTCCCAGCCCCTGATGCTCTGGCCCCAGGCGGCCCCCGCTCCCCTGGATCTCCTGGTCTGGCCCACCTGACTGCCCGGCTTCTGGGCTCCAGCCAGTTGTCCCTGTCTCTTCTAAGCGGCTTTCCACCACCCCCTGGGACCCTCTCAAGCGCAGTGAGGCCCCAGACCCATATCTGCCCGTAGCAGGCCTAGGTCACAAGGCTCAGGGCAGGCTGGCTGTGCACACCCCTTCCCTTTAGCTCGCCACCTCAGTGTGAGAATGGCTCAGGGCCTGCAGAGGGGCCAGACTCTTGTCTGAGGCCCCAGAGCTGGGGACAGGGTTCCAAGGTATGTCACTTCAGCCCCCCAACCCACCGGGCAGGTCAGTAGGAGACAGGGAGGGTCTGGTAGCCACAGTCCCCACGTGGCCTGGGCTGAGAATCGGGCAAGGAGGGAGGCCCAGGCTGCCTGCCGATACCCCCCTTTCTGGCCTTGGGACAACAGTGGTTACCACTCTGTGCCCCAGCTGTGCCACCAGCAAATATCTCCACGAACAATGCCTAGCTCTGTCCTGGCACAAGCCTGTCTTTGTGGCTCAAACGCCACTCCTCCCATCTCCGACAGCTGACCTTGGCCACCCACGCCAGTTCTGGCAGCAAGAGGGACTTCCGACGACACTTAGAAAGGACTTTTCCCTCTTTAAAAAAAAAAAAAAAGATGGGGCCTAGGGGCAGCAGGTGGCATAGTGGCTAAGGCACTGGACTCTCTCTCTCTCTTTTTTTTTTTTTTTTAGGGTTTTTTTTTTTTTTTTTGAGAGTTTTTTTTTTTTTTGCTATAGGGCACATATGCTCGCCAGAACGACAGAGAGAAACAGAGAGACAGAAAGCGAGAAATCACCCCTCAGGGAGGATGGCCACGCCGCAATCCCTTCTCCTCCACTCTCCTCTCGGGATCTTGGGCATGCACGCACACGCACCCAGCGTAAGTTTAAGCCACTGGATTCAGGACTCGAACCGTGGTCAGCTATGTGGGAGTCCAGCGACTCAGCCATTACACCAACTGTTGGTCCCAAGGCACTGGACTCTCGCATGGTTGGAGTCCCAGACCTGGTGGCTTGAAACTAACACTGGGCATGTGTGGGTGTGTGCCCAAAACCTCAAAAGGAGAATGGAGAAGGGAGTACGGCATGGCCATGCCCTGGGGGTGATTTCTCACTTTCCTCCTCACTGTTTCTATACATGCCCTATGGCAAAAACCTAAAAACAAAGTGCATCACTGGGGCCAGCAGGTGGCGTGGTGGTTACGGTAGACTCCCACACATCTGACTGTCCTCGGAGTCCTGGATCCCACAGTGTGAAAACACACCTGGGGTGTTCATGCATGTCCAAAATTCCAGGAGAAGGGATTGCTGCATGGTCATCCCCACCCGGGGGGATTTCTCCCTCCCCATCTCTCTATCTCTTTCTTCCTCTGGCAAACACACCCACCGTATGGCAAACCCCCCCAAAATAAATAAATAAATAAATAAAAAACATTGCAAAATAGGCAACTTACCTAGAGGCCGATGGGATAGGTAGGTGGCAAGTTGTCTCAGCCCTGGAAGAATCCATGGCCCCAGGCTGGCGTGCACCTACCCGGGGCTGGTGGCGCTTGGCAATGTGGGCAGCAGGAGGCAGCAGGAAGGACTCCCGGGGGAGAGGTGGCCCTGAGAGCGCGGCCCTGTGTGTGGAGAAGTGCATAACGGACCCCTAGGCCTCCCCCACAAAGCCCGTGAGCCCCAGAGGAGTTACATGCAGTGCATGGACAACACTTGTGATGAAGTGGACGGAGACCCTTCTTCATGTGGGAGACTGAAATATGCCACCCCAGGGCCAGCAGGTGGCGTGGTGGTTAAGGTGCTGGATTACTACATGGCCGACCGTGGTTCGAGTCCCAGACCTGGCAAC